AAGCCTTATTGTTTCCATCTAGTCTCATCTGAATTGAGCTATTTCTTCTCTATAGAGTGTCATTATTCATACATCACTAAACAGGACTATCTAAACAACAATGAAGCCAATCAATGTTTGAACCAAATAATCCAAGGTACAGCATTAGCTAGCCAAGAACTAGAGATGCCATTGGTTTAGGAACATGCTGCTACTCTCCAAACCTTATTATACACCATTCTGTGAAAACAATGCTAAGGAATCAACTTTTGATAAAAGTTTAACACATACAAACTGGAACTGCATGGAGTTACCCTGTTTTCCAGACAAGGAGTCCAGGGAAATGCAGTGTGTGTGTGTGTGTGTGTGGGGGGGGGGGTGCCCTCAGGTACAGCAGGTGCAATGAGTGTAAAATCCAATGTGCAAGATTTTCATTCATTCACTACATGTCTATACACCCAACAGCTATCCAGATGTTTTACAAAGAATCATGAAACACAGAATCATAGAACAGTACAGCTGGAAGAGGCCATGATGGCCATTGGGGTCCAACCCCTTGCTGTTGCAGGACACCAATTTATAGCATCCCACTCAGATGGCTGTCCAGTTTCTTTCTGAATGTCTCATATGGGAGTATGGAAGCAGAATTTCTCACACCCTTTGAAAAGAATGTGCTAGTGTTCCATCTGAACTGTAAGTGTCTTCAGAAGAAAGGAAAAGCACTACACCAGAAGGACACATCTTTTCCCAGTGTTCTGAAAATGTTGACAGTTCAGCTAGAACACTTGTGTAGTAATTAACTGTGGCTCAGACCTTCCAGAATTTTCCATTAACTGCAGTGAACATCTAAAGAATTTTATCAAAGCTTGTTATGATTTTAAGTCCCTATGTGTGAAAATGCGCGCACGCACACACACACACACACATATATATATATACACAGAGAGAGAGAGAGAGAGAGAGAGAGAGAGATTGTGCGTATATACACACGCACAAAATATGTTATATACAGGAAATAAAAATATTATTTAAAATACTTTAAACTCAGGAATTGTGTAACAAATGTGTTACGGTCAACATCATCATTCAATCATTCATCCCTAAAATATTTGATAGTCATTTTAGTCCGTCAGATAATAGTACTAATAGATGGATTAAGGAAGCTAGGATAAAAACTAGCACGCAATATATGAATATCCGATGGTTAACTCTCTCAGAAAACTGGATGTGAAGCTTCTCTTAACTGTATGTAGCCAAATAAAAAGCTTTGATCTAATCAAAGCCCTTTTCTAAATTACACAGATACTTGGCAAGAAATTTATTTAGGTCATTCCTGAACCAAAAATTTGATTGGAATAGATAAATGTGTAGCTGAATTACTAAACAAATAAAGATTCTGCCCAGTGTTGTTAAAGCTTTAGCTCATTAACACCAGTTTGGAAAGGTAATATATGAGATTTACTATTTGCAACTTTAAAACTACAGCGAGTAAATAGTAACTAGCTGCAACTGATAAAGCAGCTTCTGAACTTGGACAGATGACTTTTGACTGTTTCAAGTAACAAATGTTTTTGAACAATACACAAAATAGCAGCAAGCGTGCCATTATCTTTCCCTCTGTCTTTCACTGAGTAAAAATGAATCCCCAGGCATATCAATCTCCCCACAGTGTGGCTAACTGGGAAGACATGATTCAGAGGTTCATTGGATCACTCTTCCCAAATTAAATGCAAGTGAGTCAAGGTTGTCTTCAAGGATATCAACGTCTGTGTATCTAGAACTAAACATAGAAATAATAAGTGATAAACAGTTGTCCCATGATTGGTAATGTGAACACATTTTCAAAATCATTTTTCATTTCTCTTGCTTTCTCAGCAAAGTGTTGTATTAATTTACTAATAATTTTCCCAATGTAAATGTATTTTGAGAGATTCAATCTTGTACATTATTTTCTCTTTCACGTATTAGCAGAGGCTACCTCAGTGTCATCTCTTTCCATTTTCCTTTACTTTACCGAATGAGAATAGGAAAAACAATATCATTGTTATCCCTAATCCAACCACCCTCAATCCCCAGATACTGTTAGAATACAACTCTTATCATACCTTACCATGCTGCCTGGAGATGATGGGAGCAGTAATCACAGATTATATTTTAAACTGTCTGAAACGTATTTTTTTTGATGAGAAAATATATGCAAATACCATGGCTAAGAAGTAGATGGTTGAGAAAACTAATGGGTGAGGGAAATATATATTGATTTCATGGCTGGGAAGTAAAAAGAGGAGAAGCATAATGCAAATTTTTCCTCCATCTATTTCCCTGCCATGAAATCTACATATATGTCTTGGTAAAAGAAAAAGTACAAATTGATGGGCAGTGCTAAAAGAAAATCTTTAGAGGACATGCACCATCCCCCAAAGTTAATTCCATGCAGCTGCCTTCTCAGGGTTTTATCTATTTAAGGACTAACAGCAAACTTTAGTAACCACAGCAGTAAGTACTTTGAAAAGGAGCCATGAACTGGTTTGGTGTGTTATCTTCCCTTTCTGAATAGCTAGACACTTGAGGAAGTGTTGATAATGTGGAGGCACTGGGAACTGTCAGTTCAACACTTGAATCTGATAGGATTACCCTGCTAAGGGAGAAATGTTGTACCCCCTCCTTTTGTGCAACTACTTTTTCCCCTTTACTGCTGATTTTCAACTGACAGATTGGCAACCGTACTGAAATGTTATCAATTGTATTCCAGTCCCTTTGAGAGCTGAAACTTATACAGACATCAACCAGGCAAGACTGGACATATTGGACAACTGTAAACGCTTGCTTGTGCATCTCTGAAAGAACAACAAAAATAAAAATAAACACAACAGTGCAATTTTTAGGCTCAAAAAATGAATGTCCCAATTTGCATTTTTGAGACCTTCATATCTCTCTCTCTCCCTCCCTAACTCCCTCCCCCCCACCCCCCACCCCCACACACATATACATATGGCAACAAACTAAAAGGTACAGTTATGGGGAGGAGAGAGTTCTGCCACATAGCAGCTGGTAAACTGAGGGTGAAGGAAGGACAAAGCAACCTAAGTTGAGTTCGCTTGGGTATACCATGGATTGTTCCATCAATAACCAGCCAACCTCTGCAGCTTATGTTTAGGATGAATAAATGTGTTGTGCAAACTTGCCTATTGTCGTAAAATATTTTAGCCATTGGAGCAGCCTTCCTCAACATGGTGCCTTCCTATCAGCCTCAGTTGGCATGGTGAATGGCCCTGAATACCAGAGTTGCAGTTTGAAATATCTGCAGGGGACCAAGTTGGCGAAGACTGGTCTACCATCAATCACTGAACAATCATTGAACAATACCATTCTACTTCCTATTAACTCCTAGGCTCATTTCTTATAATGTTGCAAGAACTGACAACTTGTGATCCTCCAGAAGACTCTCCAGAAGTCAGAAAGGGCTGGTTAACATGGTCAGAGATGTGGGAGTTGTAGGCCAAAATGTCTGGAAGGCCACAAGTTGCCCATCCAATTAAGCCATTACCGGAATGGCTTGATTGCCACTTCTTCACAGCTTCACTCCACTGACATTTGCAACATCTGTACAGAGTTTATATTTATTTATTCCATTATATACCACCCCTTAGTCAGAAAGACTGGGCAGTTTATGAAACAAGGACATTTAAGCAAAGATAAAAATAGCTATCACAATAAAAACAGTAACAACAACCAATGAGCAACAATAATAAAAACAACCCCAGTCAAATTGGTACACAGGTGCAGTAGCAGCATCTAATAAAAGCATATTAAAACTACAATCTTAACCTTTAAAATGCTTGGAAAATAAAAAAAAAGTTTTTCACCTAGTGCCGTCAAAAAGAGTAGGCAAGAAACAAGACCTCTTTCAGAGCTTATTCCAGAGATGAAGTGCCATAACCAAGAAGGCACTCTGTTGATCACAGAGTCTGAGCCAAAAGACTCTATCACATTCTAAGCTGTGTAACTGGGGCAGTTTGGAGAACAACCATATAATCTGTACAGCACATGCAATATGAACGGGACCTTTGAATACAGAATGGCTTTCCACAGCTACCCTAACCCTAACATCTGCTTTGAAACAAGTTGACCAACAAGACCTGATGCATGGGCTCAGCAGACTGAATTTTTCTTTTTATATTAAGGTTGTTTCCCATCTTTCAACACTACAGGACTCAAAGCAATTCACAGAAAATCACACAACTCATAAATAGAGAACAAGATACAGAAGTAAAATTAAAATAAGTAAATAAAGAATGAGGCAGCAGAAAATATTCCTACCATGTAGGTTAGAAGCAGCTAATGAATATTAAATACCTGCCCAAACAAGAAGGTTTTCATAGAGACAGAGAAAGCACAGCACTGTGGGAGGTAAACGGATCTTGTGGCAGAATATTCAACAGTGTGGGCACCTAATTTATTGTGAAAAAACTTCTTAAATATATCCTAAATATAGAAATGTGATGTAATTCTGGCTATGCTACAGCCTTCTCTCTAAACATCCTTTTATGAGAATTTTTTTTTTTTTGAAGGGGGAACACTCAGTCATGTGAGCCTCAGTATATAGTCTGGGGAAGAGCAGGCTACACACAGGTTCAGCAGTTTTGAGTAAGGGCAATTAAGATGTTATTTTTATTGCACAGTTAGCAACTCTTTGTATGTGTGCATATTAAAAATACTTGATAGAGAGGCAGGATTTTGTTCAGCAGTTCAGTTTTGTATAACACTTCCTCTTCAGTCACAATTGTAATAAACTCAGCAGCCCCTAACCAGTCTTTAGCAATTAGCATTATAAAAGCCCCCCTGGCACAATGTGCTTCAGTCCTGAGAAATATTTTGGGAAGAATATGGCAACAGTTAGTTAAACAAAACAAATTAAACAAACAAAAAGAATAAAATGGCATTTGATTTAGATATGGATACAACTCTTTGATTAACAGCAAAAATGAAGTTTCTCAAATGACTAATGCTTTAAATCTTACCTGCAGGTGCCACTAGCATGGCTTCATTACGCTTGGTCTCAAGTTTGTCTCTGACCCATGGAAACTCTTGCAGAGATTCTAGGAAGGTCTCAAAAGCCTTGGGACCTCTTGTAGGTAGTATATCAAGAAGCATCATAGTTTTCCTCTGATTAGTGACCTGGGACCTTATTTCTTGTACATGGTTTTCTGTTAGAATTCCTTCTTGGTAAAGATATTGAATGATAAGGCCCTCCACCAGCAGTTCTGCACAGAGCTCCAAGCGCAATGAGCGCAGAACATGTTTGTCTCTGGCATCCATCCTGAGGAAGAAACAAAGAAAACCTAAAGTATTTCTGTCTTGTAACACCAAGGAAGCAAATTTTACTGTTGAAAGCCTTCAAAAAAGATTTCAGATTTTTAAAAAACCTTTTCTGTTTATGTTAGCACCATAACCCCAGTTTTAAAAATTTAAAGATGAGGTTTAAATCCTGGAAAACCTTCTCCCTTCATAATCTTTTTGTAATAGTTTAACATTTCTTGAGTGTTGACATGCACCATGTTGCTACATATTAAAGTGACATACCATTTCAGGTATCTAAAGCTTCACTGAATGATGTTCCAACCATTTCTGGAACACATTTGTGAGAGCCAGTGTAGTATAGTGGTTAGAGTGTTTGACTGGAACTCAGGAGAAAGTCCTCCTTTATGTTCCACCACCAGCAGTGTCTGCTTAAGTACATCAGACAGGGCCTTCTCTGTTGTTGCAGCTGGCTTTAGAAATCTTTGCTGCTGAGAGTTCTGGGTAGCTCAGTCAGTGACTGAACTTCAGTGAATTATAAATTGAGAGATGATTTTCACTCCTGATTTTCTTGAAGTTAACAAAAAAAGAACTTCCACGACAGCTTCCAAATAAGAATTAAAACAAGAATGTATTCCCAAGAAAAAACAGCACAAGGCAAAATTAGATAAAATCAACAATCCGGGAGGAAAAAAACCCATGAGTACTGAAATGTTATTTCAGAAATATTTAAAAGTCTTGGGTGCATGTACAAGAGGTCTTATAAATCCTACTCTTGCATGGAGTTCAAGTCAACATACAAGGAATTTCCCAGACAATTTTGCACACAGGAGTTGGAAAAAAAACTCAAACCCCAGAAAAGTGCCCTGAGCCTTCTCCAACCTAGTACCCTTCAAATGTCTTGAAATACAACTCCCATAATTGCTCAACAGTTATGGAACATAATGGGAGTCATAGTCCAGAGCACCTGAAGGAGAACCAGACTATCAATCTGCTTTAGAAGCTTTTTTGCCTACTCGCTCTTTTATGCCTTATTCACTAAGTTTTTCATTTATCTTTGAAAAGCTGGTTACAAAGAAATACACTGCAGCAAAAACTGCAAAACTAAAAAGAAACATCTGTGCACAGAAGAAAGTCCTTTCTTGCCTCTGTATGAATACATTTAAATAAATTCGCACCACCCCCGCACAGAGAGGGAAAAAGGCAGGTATCTTGAGCAGAAATAAAAACTGGGAATCGATATGGCGCGGCACCAAGGAAGCTTTAAACATGAGAAAATTGCAGATAGATCCAAGACTTCTCTAGGGGAAACTGTATAATTATCAAGGCCAGGGAAAACCGTTTTCCCTGAAAATACTTACAAAATTAGGCGTAGGGATCATTTATCAAACCAGGCAGTCGCCCAAACGGATCTTTCAGCACCATCTTTCTTAAGGGTAAAATCGCCAAACAGGAAGTGCTCTCCTCCATCTTTCTTAAGGGCAAAATCGCAACGAGGGCACTCATGACGCGCGCCAGATTAGACTTTCGGTGGCGTTGGAGATCCCTGTTTAACTTTTGACGCGTTTTTCCCCTTCACCTGCGGGACCACAGTGACAGAAGGTCATGTTCTTCCAGGCTCTGTTTTTTCGGGTGAAAAAATGTGATTTTTCAAATGTATGTAATTCTCAAATTTCTGGGTAGGAGTGGGGAAGTCCCAGGGAGTGGCTTATAATAGTTATGCAATGTGGGCCATTGTTGGAGGTGCGGCTGAATTTGAGACAGTGACTTCTAACAATTCTGCAATGTACTTCAGTGCAGTTGTTGCCACATTGCAGAGAGAGAAGGAGGGCTGAGGCTGGCAGTGCTTCCGCCAGCCCTGCAATGTGGTCCACTCTCTTGATATTGCGGAAGTTGAACCTGAGACAGAGAGCAACATACATAACCATGTAGACAGCGCAGTATTAGATGAATATTGCAGGTGCTTGAATCTGCATACATGAGTACCATCACAGCCATTCTTGCATTATGATCTCCATATATCAGATACGGGCTGTAACATCCACAACAATTCTGTCAACTTTCCAGTATTTTTCGGTGAAATAAAATAGTGCAGATCCACAGTTATGGCATAGGTATTGCAAGTGCATGCCAACCAAACCTTTCAAACAACTAACCAAGCAGTAACTGCTGGTTTCTGAACAATGCTGATTCTCATGTGCTGATGGGTTGTGCACCTTTACAATATACTTCCAAGCAACATGGTGACATCTAATTTGGATTTTGTTTCTATTAAAACAAAACAATGGAACTGTTGCTGGGAATTCATTATCAATACAGTGTGGGAAAACTCATCAGTTTGCTTTTAAAGTATATCATAACCCTTTGAGTATTTGCTATTTCCCAGATACTTTTGGATGAATGTGGTGGTGGTGGTGGTGATGATGTAAAAAGCCTTTTTATTGTTAGCCTAAATGAAATCCTATTCAATGGGCTTACTCTAAGTAAGACCAGTAGTGGAAAGAACCTCTGTCCATGGGGCTTTACATTATGTAAGAAGGCAGGGCTCTGCCCAATCAGTTTGCAATCTAAAATTCAGCATGGGGAAACACAGAGGCAGGAAGAAACACGAAGAACTATGCAGTTGTTTTTGTTGTTGCACATGCTTAGATGGATTTACAGGCAGAGTACAAGTAGGACATGGAACAAAGGCATTTGTGCCAGACATGACATAGAAATGGTGGATTTTGAGGAAGGATTTTAAAGGTTGCATAAAGGAAATGTGACTTTTTATAGTGCTACATTAATAATACTGAGTTATTATTTCAAGTAGGAACTGAAAACACATGTTGCGTGGTTCTGAGGGTCAGTCTTCGGAATTAGCAGCACAAAAACACAACTGATGTGAATTGATGGGACAATAAGTCTGTAGTCTTCAAAAGCTTTATGCTTGAGAAAATACCATTTACAGAATTGAAGTTACATATTAAATGTAAACTGCTGTTTACACTTCACTGATGTTTTAAAAATAATTAGATTTGTAGTTTCTTGAATTTGATTAATATTTTCTAAAGAATACTTTAATTTTGTAATCTATTCTATGACATGACAAAGCTGCCTTGTTCTGTCTCTAAATCTTCCCACAAATCAAATCTGGTATGATTCTTAGGAATTTCATTTTCTGGCTTGTCTTTTTTGCGTTTTCAAGAAATGCTATGAGCCACCACTTAGAAATATTTCTAGTCTTCTGCCACCTACAGTTCACTTTGGTAGGGGCTTTAGAAAATCGAATTACCCATTCTAAGGTGGTACTTGTCATCTTCAGTGTTTGTAAGTTCTTATACTGAACTCAGTTAACTTTTTCTTAATTGTCTGATCAGTAGGAGAATTAATTTTAGTCCAACATAAGGTTTTTCACCTATTAATATAAGCAGTTCATCAACTAAACACAGTGGCCCTAATTACAATACTAATTAATATACATTGAAGGTAATTGAAGTACCTGAAATTGTTGAAAATACATGTAATGATAACAGAAACAAGAAGAACCTCATACCAATTCATGCATACATAAACATTTTTAGTTCTCAGAAACATGATTAAATCTTCCTAGCCTTTTGTTTTGTTTGTTAAAGTATTTTAACAGTTCTCATTGGGGCCACATCTTCACAAAGCAGGGTACAAAAAACAAAACAGCATTAAGAAACATGCTGTGTACACTGAGAAGCTGTACTGAAATACAAAGCTAATCACAAGCCCAATTAAAGACAGCATCGAAGAGGAAGGTCTTCAAGGCTCGCCTGAACACATGGACAAAAGGCGTAAGTCAATAGGAGACGTTTCATGTTTCTGTTTGAAACTGTAGTGTTTAATATATGCCAGAACCATGACTCACAGGATGACTGAATGCTATTTCCTTTCATAATTCATGGCAGTGTCTGCCTCTAAGCCAATGTATCAAGTGTCAACCATGTGTCAAGGCTCTCATGCATATGCTATATCAGGTACTCCTTGCTCTGGCTCAGAGGTGTAAGATCGGTGAAGTTGGAGGGTCAGATAACTGGGACAGGCTGTGCACAGTGAAGCTGCTCTGTGAGAGAAGCAAAGGAGATGCACCTGGCTTTGCTGTGCACAAGCTGCCCCAGTCCAGGAGGAGTCATACACAGGGGAGCAACAGAACAGAGGAACTTTTGCTGCTGTCTCCAATCTTTTATCAAAGATAACAGATTCCTTCCTCTCCCCTCATCTGCACAGCTTCCAGTAGGAGTGAGGCTTGTGGCAGGGCTTACAGAGGTCCAGCCTTTACAGGCCAGAGGTGGAGCTTCTGTAGGTGGGGCCTGGTTCTGCATCCTTTCTAATTAACCACACTGACTTGCTTATGTCCAAGTAGTGTATCAAGCAATTGTGGAAAGATTAGGAGGGGAGAAAGACTATTGGGCAAGTTTACACAATACAACCATCCATCCTGTGAATAAGCTATGCAGTGTGGGTTGTTTTCAGAACCACCCATGATGTACCCAACAGACAGGTTTTCTCTCCCTTTTTCTTCTCCTCCTGACCTGCTGGTATTGCAGAATCTTGCCTGGCAGAACCTGTCTTGTCTCCTCCATCCTTGCCCTCATTATGACCCCATTTTCATTTTTTAATTTCTTTCCAGAATAAGGGGATAGAAGTGTTTAAAGGAATGCATGGGGTGGAGAAAGTAGAGGGGAATATTTTTCACCCTCTCCCATAACATATGAACCCAGGGTTATCCCACAGTTAACGGATAAAAGGAAGTGCTTCTTTGAACAGTATATAGTTAAATTATGGAATTTACTGTCATGGGAAGTGGAGATGGCCACCAATCTGGTTGGCTTTAAAAGGGGATTGAACAGATTCATGAGGCTATCATGGCTATGTGCTACCTCTTTTACTGGATGTGGTATGCCTGCATATACCAGCTGCTAAGGAGCTTGGCAGGAGGAGGTCTTGCACCTATCCTGCTTGAGGGATCCTAAGGGCAGCTGGTTTCCCACTTTATGTTTGGACTAGATAGACCTTTGGTCTGATCCAACTTGTTTTATGTCCTTATATATCTATATATCTGTATTGTGAAGGTGAACACTTAAGGCTGCTCAAAATGGGGGACCTGCCTAGATAATATCCTGATTAGTCCCTGCTGTCAAAATACAGAAGGTAATATTCATGGACATTGACAAGTGAGGCTGTATGTAAGTTGCTTTATGCACATTTGACTGTTGTCAATTAAGAAGCCAAGTTGAGGATTTTTCACCCCAAAAATGGAGAAATAAGTATATCTTTCCCTTAGCAGTGTGATTATGATTTTTAAGTATTGCTCCGAGAGCTCTCAGTAGCCTACTCATGTACACATTTCCCAGTCCCTCCCATTCAAGAAAATATCTCACTCCCTTTCTGCTAGAACTTACTCTTTACAGCTGTGAAAAGAAAGGTGGTTTAAAAAAAGCTATCTGAAAAGCTTTGTTTGGACATGGAAATATAGGGAAACACTTGTGAAAAGCACAAGAAAACCATATTTATTGATGTGAAATGCAGTCATTGAGGTTTACTAGATTTAGTTTTCACTACCAAAAGTTCTGCCCAGAAAACAATCATTTGGAAGTGGGATGCTTTCTAAGGGAAAAGGGTGGCATATAAATGCCATATAATTAATAATAATAAATGGCTTTTGTTATTTGGGCTACCACTGGTAAATTTGGTGAAATTCATAAACAATGGAACTGAAAGCAAATGTATAGATTTCCATAAGCCACTATCACTTCAATACTACTAACAGTTTTACTGAAAACCACAATGCTTTTACGTTAATCCTGTACATTTAAGTAATTTATCTGCATAAGGACAAATATTTTGCATTTCCACATTGAATCACTATTTCATGCCTGTTTTATTAAAATCAGAATATTACCTTTCACATCAAGAAAGGTGTAAATGTTGGATTCAGATTGATTCTAGGTCAACTGTAAAGACCAACTTGAATTTCTTACCTATAAGAGTATCAGACCAGTGGTCTATCTGATTTATACTGCAGCAAATCAGCTGCTTACAGGAACCCAACAGGAGGATGGAAATACAACAGCACACTTCTGCCCAAGTTCCCCAGCAACTTGTATATACAGGCTCAGTGCTTCTGATACTGGACTACCACATAGCCATTAAGACAAGTAGCTACTGATAATTTTCTCCTCCATGAATTTATTCAACCCCCTTTTAAAGCCATTCAAATTGGTGGCCATCACCAGGAAGAAGCAAAAATCCACACTCTAATCATGTACCATGTGAAGAAGTACTTTTGTCTGTGCTCAATCTCCCACCAATCAGCTTCATGGAATAATCTCATGGATTATGGGATAGGGAGAAAAATGTTTCCCTATCTACTTTCTCCACACTGCATAATTTGGTATACTTCTATCCTATCTACCCTTACTTACCTTTTTCTAAGCAGAACAGTCTGAGCTGTTGCATCCTTCCCTCATCAGGGAGTTGCT